GGTATAGCTACCTGATGTAACTTTGTACTTGACACAAGGTATAGCTCCCTGATGTAACTTTGTACTTGACACAAGGTATAGCTACCTGATGTAACTTAGTACTTGACACAATAAGGTATAGCTCCCTGATGTAACTTAGTACTCGACACAATAAGGTATAGCTACCTGATGTAACTTAGTACTCGACACAAGGTATAGCTTCCTGATGTAACTTAGTATTTGACACAAGGTATAGCTACCTGATGTAACTTAGTACTTGACCCAAGGTATAGCTACCTGATGTAACTTAGTACTTGACCCAAGGTATAGCTACCTGATGTAACTTAGTACTTGACACAATAAGGTATAGCTCCCTGATGTAACTTAGTACTTGACACAAGGTATACCTACCTGATGTAACTTAGTACTCGACACAAGGCATAGCTACCTGATGTAACTTAGTACTTGACACAATAAGGAATAGCTCCCTGATATAACTTAGTACTCGACACAATAAGGTATAGCTACCTGATGTAACTTAGTACTTGACCCAAGGTATAGCTACCTGATGTAACTTAGTACTTGACCCAAGGTATAGCTACCTGATGTAACTTAGTACTCGACGCAAGGTATAGCTACCTGATGTAACTTAGTACTCGACACAAGGTATAGCTACCTAATGTAACTTAGTACTTGACACAAGGTATAGCTCCCTGATGTAACTTAGTACTCAACACAATAAGGTATAGCTACCTGATGTAACTTAGTACTCGACACAAGGTATAGCTTCCTGATGTAACTTAGTATTTGACACAAGGTATAGCTACCTGATGTAACTAAGTACTTGACACAAGGTATAGCTACCTGATGTAACTTAGTACTTGACACAAGGTATACCTACCTGATGTAACTTAGTACTCGACACAAGGTATAGCTATCTGATGTAACTTAGTACTTGACACAAGGTATAGCTACCTGATGTAACTTAGTACTTGACACAAGGTATAGCTACCTGCCAAATATCTCTACCCTAGGCTGTGTAGAACTTTACAAAGAAGATTGTTAAAGCTTTTGCTGATAATAGCTGATTGAACACAATGTATTAGAAAAAGATGTGTATGGCATGTCTTCTTACAATTAAACCATTAGGATCCAATTCCTTTTAGAGAATGTTGTAGATGTTAACTTATTTGTCCCCTGTGACCTTGAAAATTAATCAAGGTCATTATTTAAAACATTCAGTCCTAGGTAGTTTCTGACCAGATATCATGACTCTTAAGTCTTTCAGTTTTGAAGAAGAAGCTATTAAAGTTGATTGACAGACCTCCGATGGTTGGTGAATACCCCTGTACCTGCTGTTACCTGGCTAACATGCAGGACACACAGGTTGAAATCACATCCTGTGATACATCACTGTCAGTGATTTTAGGCTGCAGGTAGGAAGTCAACCCCACCTTACCCTGCCAACAACCTCCAATTAGAATGACAAATTATCGGCCAACAACCCTCAGATCAGGTCTCCATAAGGACAAGCGAATACATTGACACAGTCTATAACTATCACCTCACAAAAATCTGTGTTATATAGTTAATACACATTTACACATTAACTACCTACATGTATGACAATGTGTTATACATCATTTAAATATTTTTTTGTTTCCACCTTAGCTTATTTGTAACCCTGCAAACAACTTTCTAAAAATATTTAATATTGAATAATTGATGAGTATAAAAGTTAACAGTGAGTAAAGATGATAACAAACTCCAGGACAAAAACAGCCATACTGTTGATGTAACGTAACCCACTAACCATGATTATGAATACAATCTGAATACAATCAGTGTATTATCTGTATCCACCAGCAGATGATACACCTAACAGACATCTGTATATATGAGATGCAGGTATAGCTGTTTATAAATACTCTTTATGTCACAAAAATTTTAGGAGCATAATTGATCTGTTGATGTATCAGGTAAGACAAGTGCATATTACTTCCATTCCTAGAGTCCACAGTAATACTCAAACTAAGAGTCTACAGAAGTCCTCAATCATACAGTCTACAGTAATCCTCTATCATACAGTCTACATGTAGTCCTCTATCATACAGTCTATAGTGCTCTCTCATACAGTCCTCAGTTGTCCTCTATTACTAGTACTAGGCACTAGTCCCCAGTCATACAGTCTATAGTCCTCTATCAACCAGTCTACAGTAGTCCTCTATCATACAGTCTATAGTCCTCTATCATACAGTCAATAGTCATCAATCATACAGTCCACAGTTGTCCTCTATTACTAGTACTAGGCACTAGTCCCCAGTCATACAGTCTATAGTCCTCTATCAACCAGTCTACAGTAGTCCTCTATCATACAGTCTACATGTAGTCCTCTATCATACAGTCTACAGTAGTCCTCTATTACTAGTACTAGGCACTAGTCCCCAGTCATACAGTCCACATAACTTAGTTTGGAATGGTTTGTGTGTAAAAAATGGTTAATTAGGTTTGTTTCCTGGTGAAAAGTAGACCAGATGTTTCAAAAATGTATCTGAAAGTAGGTTTGTACGAAGGAAATGAAACATATTATCAATATTCAGCAATGGAAATTTCAAGAAAACACTGCTCAGCTTTTTAAAATGAGCATGTACCAGTGGTCTTTATGAGATAGATTTATCAATGTAGGTAACCTACTTAGTGTGTAAATACACAATAACATAACATCTTTAGGATGATAGGACTGTGTGCTAAAAAATGTTGAATGATAATTATTACATTACATGTAAAAAATACATATCAGAAAGGCACCATTTTATATAATTATAAAGTTTAATGTCCTCTCAACAGCTAGGGTCATTTCAAGACAGGGACAAGCACATATACATGTACATACATATACTTAATGTATGTGTAAGATGGTAGATGAATTCATTCATAGCCTATTCTCTGTATTTAATATTAATGTTTACCCTCTCCTTTTTGTTAAGGCCATATACTACCTTACCCATTTTAAAGTGATATAAGTAGGGGTTATTACCCTTATTTTTCCACTGATGTCATAATCAGAATTACAGATTCCCTTAAATAGTATAATTTCGTGACACTGTTACTAGTCATATAAAGTGATGACTACAGTAGACAAGAATCTCATTCAGAGGAACATATACACCATTCTACATTTGCTTCAGATAGTCACATCTTGTTCTTATATCGGGTTGGACAAGTTATGCATACCTGTTAATGTTAACAAGAACAATAGCCAAATTCTCCTGGGTTAATTCACATAAGTCCTCCAATAGAAATGTTTCCCCCAGACTTTAGTTTCCAGGCGATAGCTTAGGCAGTTTTAAAAATTAATATCATGACTTTATTAAAGAGGAAAAAAAAAAATAATATGCCAGGGTTGTATATCTCAACTTCATGTGGTCTAGAGTGCATAGTTAACAAGGATTCAATACTTCAAGGTAGGCATATCAAATTAAATGCAGCATTGATCAAGTCAACACGAGTTTTAAGGTTTAGATACAGGCCTATCATCATTAAGTGTAATCAACAACATGAAGCTCAATCATGTTCAGATACCTATTCTCACAACAGAGGAATTGCTAATATTATCACCTTTTTCGATTCACCGTACAAGGGAATTATCACATATCATTGCGTACTTGTTATGTTGTTGTAATTACCTCGGGTAGTGTTGTGTTCCCTTAGAAATTGCTTTATATTTGAGAAAAATCCTTATATACACATATTTACTTCCCTAAGCCTCTAAATAGTTCTTAAAATATTATTACGGGCACAAAGATTAATTTTTCTGTTTCACGATTCAACTGTAATTCTGCATTGAAAAATGGGTCTTCCTCTATAAATAATGTGAAAGTAATGATAATAGGCTGGTTGATCAAAAGGTACTATGCATGGAGGTTTGCCTTGATTACATCAGTAATATTTAACTCCGTATGTAGAACTATCATGATGGACAAGTTACACACTGTAGGCTCCAGAAAGTCCCAGGATCCAGGTTGATGCATAAATAGATCAAGTCTTTTGTGAACTTGTCATTTTCAATTTTTTCAAAACAGAAATGGCAGATGCCAGAGGTCCATAAAAAGGGTAGCAAGCTGGTCTACCATGACCTCTCTATCTCGAAAGATCTCGATGCATGGATATCCATACCCACCGACAGGCTTTTTCTGAATCTGTGTTCTTTGTCACTGTCAAGAAAACAGTAAAAGGCACAGGAACTCAACTTGAAACATCTGGAAACAATTTTAAACCAAGTGTTGTGATTATGTATTTCCTTTTAATGGTTATCGCCATCAACTTTTGTTTTGTTTTTCAACATGTTATTAATGAACAGAAGAGCTAGGTCAGACTTGTTGATGTGGTATTTCTTGTTCAAAGACATAAACAGTCTACAGGAGTCTTTTCCTGTTTGTCCTATGTTCACTGTGCACAACAAGTCTACACAGACATTTTAAGTATATTTAAATGTCATATGTTCACTGTGCACAACAAGTCCACAGACATTTTAAGTATATTTAAATGTCATATGTTCACTGTGCAGAACAAGTCTACACAGACATTTTAAGTATATTTAAATGTCATATGCTCACTGTACAGAACAAGTCCACAGACATTTTAAGTATATTTAAATGTCATATGCTCACTGTACAGAACAAGTCCACAGACATTTTAAGTATATTTAAATGTCATATGTTCACTGTGCACAACAAGTCCACACAGACACACAGTATATTTAAACCTTTGTAATCAAGAAATTTCAATTTGCAATCGACAATAAATGTTTTACAACTGACTTCCTAATGACCAACTCCACAAGTGGTTACTTTTATGCCTCGGATGATATCAGTTGGATTGTTTTTTGGGTTTAATTGAAGTACTTGGGCCCCAATCTATAATGAACATGGATGCTTTAATAATCAGACACTGAAGAGCTTGTTCTTTCATATAGCCAAATACTACAGAGCGCAGAAAATGGAAGAATAACTAGACTCAGATTTCGACTATAATTCAAAAATATTTTATTTCTGGAATTCTTCCAAAATACCAACACTGAACAAAGTCCAGTGGATCTATAACCATTATTAATCATCAGATGGCATTATGTTACATGTATGTTGTACAATGGACATTATACATCAGAATATAGTAATGACAACAACAAAAAGTCAAAGTAAAATTTCTATATATGGACACTCGGTGTCTGCAATGTAATAATCTGTGCTGGATAAGACTCCACAGCTCATACATATATATATATACAGGTACAAGACAATAGTTTACAACAGTATATGCTGCTGAACATACAATCATATTGCTGGCAGACTCCAAACATTGTTCACACACAGAGACGCCAACATCTCTAGGTTCACTCGATCTGCCACTCTCTAACATCGTGACACAGAGACGCCAACATCTCTAGGTTCACTCGATCTGCCACTCTCTAACATCGTGACACAGAGACGCCAACATCTCTAGGTTCACTCGATCTGCCACTCTCTAACATCGTGACACAGAGACGCCAACATCTCTAGGTTCACTCGATCTGCCACTCTCTAACATCGTGACACAGAGACGCCAACATCTCTAGGTTCACTATATCTGCCACTCTCTAACATTGTGACACAGAGAGACGCCAACATCTCTAGGTTCACTATATCTGCCACTCTCTAACATCGTGCAACACTTTGGTTTGGTGTTTGTAGTGACAATGAAACAGATTTTCTGCTGCAATCTCAAGATTAACATACTTCAATCATTTATATATTGTGTAAACCCTGATATTTATTCTTTAGCACAGTAAATTTTAAAGATATTTCATTTATTTAAAGTTTACAGAAATATATGGTGTATAAATATAGCTTTGAGAAAATAACAATGAAATGATGCTTTAAATCACATCCAACATTTTAATGAAAGACATTTAAGCAAAAACTTTAAAAGAACCTTAACAAAATTGGCACTTTAATTTCTCCTCCTGATAAACAGCAATGTTAGCTTTGTGTTTCACTCCAACTGTAATATTGTTCACACATAGGTGTGGGTATTCATTTACGGTTGTGGCAACCGTCACCACAACCACACAGCTTATGGTGCCAATGGAAAGAGCTTGTTTTGACCTGTTCAATTGTTTTTGATATTTGCTACAACAAGAAAATTACATAACCATATTTCACAAAAGCATTGTGGACAGATGCCTTTTCAGCCAAAGGATAATATGGGTATGTATATCATAAAGTGTTATTATATGTGTTGATATCAGAGAAATGCACTTTGCCATACACTGACTTTGGAAATCTAAGTACTTGATAAAAGGTGCCAAAATCAAAAACCACCAGACTAATTCAATTACTAAAGTGTCAGAACAGTAAGTGCCTCTGAATGTCATCATTTGCTTTGATGCATTTCCTGTGACCACAAACATGTTCTTAGGACTTCAGACTCATGAGTACATCTACAACCAGCCGTTACGGTTAATTATACTGCCTTAGATGATGCACCGAGTACTGCAGCAATTGTGTACATGTATAGGTACTGAGGGGGTGATAACAAGAACTTCCTTATCTATATTGCATTTAATTTTACTGCAACAGACATTTTCTTTGTTGATTTCTTTATGACATAAGGGACCAGTGTATGTGTATGTAGTTCTACTAGCTACTTGTTCAAAAAAAGCCTGCATCATGGTAATGATTAAAATTACTTTTTGTACAGAAACAATAACTGTATTGTCAAACAAAATCAAGTGAAATATTGAAGCTTCAAACAGCTAAACTGGATTGGTACAAACTTACGCAGAATTTACCAATAAATAGCATTTCTTTTTTAGAACAAATGATTTTTAATAAATCTGTACAAATAGTAAGGCATAAACAATTAATCAACAAAATCTATACAGTACTTGTACACCAGTTGTTAAAAATCAAAAAAAAAGAAAATTTACAATCAAAATATGCTTAACTACAGTATGCAAATTGGTACTCTCATAATGAATTTTAAATTACACAACAAATGGTAGAAATTTGCAGTGGAAATATTTGGAAAAAAAGTGGACACATAATTATAAGTGTTACAAGTCTCATTGACTGAATTACAGCACAGTCTTAAGTTACCCATTTCATCATGACTAGACAAATTTATTTTAAGGTGTAAATAAAATTGGTCAGTTTTAATACATCAATTATCAGAAAAAGATTGATCAATATATTGTATCAATACACAATGAATTACATATTTGTAGATTAAACTTGTGTCTTCTCTTCAATGGGCTTTGCAGTTTCATCCTTTTAAATACCTACCTGTATACATTGCGGTCTGGAGATACTAACTCTATAACTGTACTTTGAATGTTATTACCATTTTGTGTTGCTTTTTCTCTGAAACTGATCTGATACTAAACTAACTGTGTATAATTTTTAGGACCTAAGAAAGTTCATGAACATTCTAGTGATTTGAAATCCATACCCTAGTTTTATAGCCATGTAGTTCAGCACTTGCCTTTATATATTGTATCATAACAAAATAAAATCTACTATTTGTTAATACAAATAAAATCTCGTATTTTTTAATTGCCATGCTAGTATGAACTGACATAGCTGAAAATAAAACACATTTCTCATTATCCATGTCAAACAGAAAATTCTGAAAATTTCAAAAAAAAAATATTTATAAAGAGTTTCTAATCTAAAAGTATTTCATTTCTGTAAAATTATGAACTGTCTAAAAAGAATAACTTAAAATATTCAGTCCTCTTGTTGTAATGTGCTATAGTATATATAGGTGATGGTACAATGTCAGTTAATTAGTCACTGTAATCAGCCACATCCTATATACAGTGTATTGTACATGATGTGAACATGTTCCAATGAATGCATCAATGTAGCTATATAAAGACATGTATCAGTACTATGATAAGTTTTGTGAACCGTGTTTGTTCTAGATAGATAAAACCACTCTTGTGGTTCTGAATCACCTGCTCAACAAATTGATAACAAACATTCAAATCCACTTTTCAGTGACCGAAAAACCAACAAGTGGTCTAACTTGAGATACAGATTAGACTTACAGGCAGCTGTCAAGAAGAGAAGACAACAAGTCCAGCTAAAGTTTGGTAGAAATTATCTTACGAGGCTTACTCCAGACTAACAAAAACGCGGACTTTGAAATGTCACAGTCACTTTTGGCCAAAATTAAGCAAATAAATTTAATAATGCAATTGAATTTATACAAATGATTTTTTTTTTCTTTAATACAGTATATATACATGAACATATATACAATATTGGGATATACACAAAGCATTTATATCAATTCAGTCCAACTTATAGAACATTTTTATTTTCTTTCTATTCAATTTTTAATTTGAAATGAGAAATCTAATTTTGAGCATTAGCGAACTTGGTCGCCAGTCAAAGCCGTCGGAGTATCACATATGTGCATTTTTTAACATATACCAGCACATCTGTTTTCTCGACACATTTCTTGACACTACAAACTTATATGAAAATACCTTCATCTTGACAGACATGTTGTATAAACATGTGCCGATACAACGTGATATACAGTATAACAAAGCATAATTAGTGCAAACGTGTCTATTCCTATTTTTGATGAATATTCATCACATACTTCAATTTTTACCAGCAGGGGGAAAAAAATGTTTGGTATGCCGTCATTGCAATGAAAAACTTAATTTCATTTTATACCAAAATATGAATGGTGAAGACATCTAGCTCCTACATATAGCTTTTTAAAACCACATATAATAGGACATTTCAATGAGCCGAAAAAACACGTCATACGTATGCCATACGTTTACATAATGGAAATCCTTACAAAATGACATGTATCAAATTGCAGTGATATTATATAGTCACTCAGATCAGATAAAACATTTAGCAATAATGACTATTGCTTTTATTATCACAGTTCAACACATAAAATTCATATACAATATCACTAGTTTCAAAAGAGAAAAGGTGTAAATATATAATGATGGTAACTTCAAAAAGCTACAAGTGATGGAACAATGTTTGTAAATTTATACACTCAATTTTGTACAAACCTAGATTATTTTCTGTGCCTGACCTAATTATCTGAGAACATTTTGGTCCCTTAGCTTGTTTTCTTCATCAAGTAGAAATCTATTAATTCAAACCAGATAAATGTAGGATAGTCTAGATCAACACACTTTATGGACTCCAGCCTTATTAGGTGCATCTAATTCACACACTACTCAACACAAAGCACAATTGCCTTGTCTATGAATCTTTCAGTACAAAAGCAAGATTTCTGTGTGTGACTATGTAAATATTTCATATGTACTCGGATCAAAGACAGTGAAGTATATATATATGTATATCTCCAAAGTTTGATGCCAGACCGATGAGTTCAGTCAATAATCAATGGTAGTTAACCTACACTGTAGATATATAGCGGCCAAATGTAGACTGCAATACACAGCTATTATTTTGTATCAGGGCTGCTTGTTCCAATACAACAAGGATGCTCCACCATACAGCTCGTCCCCTCAGCCCTCCATATACAGCTAGATCCCTAAAGCTCCTATATATATAAACATCTACATCTATGTAAAACTCCTAGGAGCTCCTGTATACTCCCATATACAATACAGCTCAGTCCCTCCTGTATTACAGTATAGCAGGGCTACTCCAATACTTTAACAGCTCCTTGAAGCCGCTTCTGTATATTAAATAGGGCTGTTTCAATATACAGCCGATCTTCTCGAATGCTCTATTATAGCTAGCAACCTGTTGTAAACCAGTGCTTCGCCAATATACTGTACATTTCGCTACTTCCTGAATACCAGTTCCCCCTTTTCATCTGGGCCGCTTCAATATACAGCTACTTGGTATTACCTACAGAATACCAGGGCTACTCCAATATACAGCTAGCTACCTGCTGTATACCAGGGCTGCTCCAATAAACAGCTAGCTACCTCCTGTGTACCCGAGGGCTGCTCCAATATACAGCTAGCTACCTCCTGTGTACCCGAGGGCTGCTCTAATATACAGCTAGCTAACTCTTGTAGTCTTGTATACCATGACTGCTCCACATTACAGCTAGCTATTTTGTATGCCAGGCCTTTTAGTCACGATGAAACTTCTTACTTGAAAACATTCTTAATTCTCAAAATCTTATCTACGTCAAAGCCTATATTTTTGTCAAATGTGAACCGTATAGTAAATGTTAAAGACTTTATGTTGCCAATTCAACTTTTGCCTTAAAACAAATTGAACTGCATGCAGAAAATCTAACTCGAGAACATCCAATAGGAAAATGTGATATTTAAGAAATTCTAAGGTAAGAATGATCTTTGAGATAGGTTTTTCGATAACGTTAACAAGACTAGGGTTTCTTCACTATGCAGTTACTGCCCAGTACAATACAGTAGCTATATATTCGCCTGTTACTGCTATGGTACTCTAGAGTGTAGACCAAGAGCTACATACAGCTAGCCACCAGTTCCTGTGTATCTACACCATAATATACAGCCTGTGTGTTACTGTTACACCTGGCTTCAATAAATAACTAGATCTACACTGCACTGAATGATGGTATTCTGTCACATTGGTCACAACATAGCCAGTGGCTATTTACAGTTATACTACATCATCTATTAGTTAGCTACTCAGCCAAGCCGAGAAGGAAATCATGAAACTAGAATAAGGCAATTACCTATATGTAATAGCCTGGGTCAGCAAACTTCTCTACTCATATTAGACATTTATGCAAGAACTTTAACTTTATGTATTGGAGCTATAAAATTAAAATGTGCTTCACAGTAACACCTACACCTAGCTACTTTATCTTATTTCAATGTAAATTCAAATTGCATGGATATCATTCTCAACCACTGATCAATGTGGAATGAAGGCCCTGCTCTGAAATTTCTGGGTTTTTTTTTTTCAACAGTGTTTAGTAGGGCCCTCCTTTCCTTAAACTTTAAAACATGGACTGCAGAATGCCCCATAATATAGAGACTGTAGATCCAATTGTCAGCACTTGTATTACAGAAAGATAGTGTTTAACAGTTAACAATCATGTGCACCATTGCTGCACTAAGACATTTACATACATATATGCACCAACTTCAGCATCTGATTGCAGGTCACTTGAATCTGAAATACCTGTACCTAGTCCACCATCAACTTTTACAAAGCATGTGACATGAACTGTGACAATTCTAATTATAATTCATGCTTAAATTTTCATGGATTCTGATCTTTGAAATTTATAACTCTTAAGGCATATGACAGTTTTTTTGTCACGGTCACTAAGAACCGGCAAGCAGGAGTTGAATTGAACCAGATCAACATGAAATTGTATAGTACACCTGTATAGAAAGTCGCATAAACATTCATAATTTGAATTGATTTAATGGTATTTGAAACAACAATTTGAAGGAAACAAAATTGCACAAATTAATTCTAAATGTATATAGCATACCTGCAGAGACAAATTGAAAGCCAACTTGAATAAAAATAGCACAATCAAAATGGTAATTTCAGCATAAAAAATGTATACTAAACTAAGCACTGTACTAAGTATTATATATTTTTTTTTTTAATAATTCAAAAGTTATTATGATGAAAATGAGCAGGAATAAAGTTTTTTTTTTTTTTGCTATTAACTTGATCAATTCATGTCTAACTCATATATATTTGTTTAGCAATCCTGTATTTCGACATATTCCCAAAACCTTGTCTTTTTCAGGGTTTGATGCATACAGCATGGTACAATAAAATTTACACATGTACTTCTTATATCTAAATCCTCATGAAATAAATTTTGCACAATCCCCGTAGTTGGTCACTTTCATGTAATTCCCTCCCGACCCAATGCCCCACCCCTTAATAGAATGCAAATGGCAGGAAGATACAAACTGATATATTTAGACATATAGTCCAACAGCTAATGAAAACACTTATCTTCTCTCACGTATTGATCTTCCAAAAATAATATATCACAGTATGATTATATTGGATAGCCACTGGCTTGACATGTAATCTCTCATTATAATGCAATATACTCATTAACATCATACACATGACAACTAATGTTCAGCAGCTATCGTCTCATAAACAGATTAATTCTAATCACTATCGAAATATCTTATATATGGAATCATATCTTAGTTGACCGAGGCTTAACAATACTTCATACTGCTATGCCTGGATATTTCTATCTGCTGCCTGCTTGAAGTTAACTAAAATATGCCTTGGATATATATTCGACAGGGTTAGCATTCTAAATTGGTCTGAACTGTAAAAAAAATAGTACACCAAGTTCTGTCGAATAACAAACATGCCCCTTTAACTGCCAATGATCCATACTACTGTCACAAAAACATGTCTACTTGGTAGGCATTCATCCATGCTGTGCACGACATGTCTACCTGAAGCAGCTACCGCAAAGTTTCTATACATGGCAAAAGTAATTCTGATGCAGTGATTCAAACTAATAATCATACATTTTCCATTTGGTTAAGCACTTTTTTTGTTACATATAGACTGGATTTTTAAATATATATTTTTACGAGCATGGATATATTTAGCTTTATATAGTAAAATAACCAGTTCTTGAAAAATGTGTACACTAAAAACGATGACTACATTATAAACTGATCTTCAAGAACTAAATTTCAAATCTGGAAGGATGTCAATAATATCCAAGACATATTTCAAAGTACATTTTTTAGTTTAATTCATAATAATTGAACATTAAACATGTAGCATGAAAAAAAATCAAAAAATCATTTTTCACCAAATAAAAATAAAAGAAAGTTTCCACCATAATGAAAAGATTGAGTCTTGATCCTGTAATTTCCTTCAACCTTTGTCCATGTTTATATTTAGAACTTCATTTTCCAGGTAACGCACCCATACACTTAACACTCGACGGGCATCCAACAACATGTTCAAAACTATTAATTCCCATCTTCAATTACAGCTGAGGCAGATGTGATTAAACATTAGATAATTTCCTTCTTGTATATTACGCCACGATCAATGACAATTAACGAAGTCTTGGACATATTGATATACAGCATCAGAACAACAACACTTGCACCTATCAGAACAGTTGTTAAGGTATTCCACCTTTATCCATACACCAACATCTTAATTAATCTTCTCATTCAATCAAGGGATAGGGGGGTTGGGGCAATGATGGCTGCTATGAACACTGCAAATATGTTGGACACAAGGGGCAAGATGATGATCCATTGATTTGGAAAACACTACTTGTTGGTAATATGTTGAAATACTGATTCCCATTGTTTGGTGAAAAGGGACCATGAAAGAACACTTGATCAATAGTTAAGCTGTTCAACTGATCAAACTGTTGAATTTCCAGGTACTTGATATGTGCCCTGCGTTCCTGGTCCATCAACACCTGGTATGCAAGCTGATGTATTAAGTTCAAGGTCTGACGACGTTCATGTCCCATCAGACAAATTGTACTCTCATCGACCACTCTATACAGTGTCATCAGGTAATCATGTTTGAGTTCTTCTTCCCCACTGAAGTGGTTATTTAGATACGACTCTAGCTTCTGTCTTTGCTGATTCAGATCACTGAAATCAATGAAAAACCGAGAACACATATACCTTTCCATGGCGCGAATGTCAATATTTTCCACAGGGGTGTAGGTCCTGGTGAGCAAGTTGCAATATTTCAATAGTCCTCCTCCTCTGATTTCCTCTGGATTTCTTGTAGAAATTAGTTTTTTGTTCAAGTGGTACCAGGCCTCACAGAAGTCCCCATACACACTCTCAGCAACAACTGTTGGGTAGAAGTTTTCACTCATGGGTGCAGCCGAGACTTCGTAGAATGTCAATAGACTGTCCAGGATGATCTGGAACGAGTCCACACTGAACTCAAATTGCCTCTTCATCTTATCTACAAACTTAAGTTCCACATTCTTCCCCTTGTTATTTGAAAGGGATATCAAACTCCATCTGTCACCGTGTTCATTACAAACTTTAACCATCTTCTGGACATATGCTTCCTTCAGACTACAACTGCTCATTTTTTCTTTGTTGACACCGTCTGGTAGAAAGTCTAATAAACATCCCAAAACACAGTTTTTGATTTTCTGTAGCTCATTGTGGTTTGACAAGTCTACCCCAAAAATGAGGTCCAAATCGTTGTATGAGCGAACATTGTCTGTGCCAAAAATGTAGCTGGCAGCTCCCCCATTTAAACGAACATCTTTGACACTTACCCCATCAGTTCGCAGTTTTTCTCGAACTACCTGTACCAAGTCCTTCAGTTTTATGTCCATAGTTGGAAAGTTTCCTCGACCATGAATGGGTACCACTTCTTCCATCACTTCATGTAAACGGACAACTTGTTCGTAACACAAACCTTGAAAACGGTTAGCACATTCCATGGTGACAACACCGTTTTCAAGTATATTTTCAAGAAAACGTGCTTTCTGAAATAGAAAAGACGAAATATGTGTTACTCCGATAGAAGCTATAGCGAAACTGTCCGTCAGTCCTACGAGTCCACGCTGTTGTGCAAGTCTGCAAAATTTACGCACATCGATTGTCATTCGACCTTTCTATTTATTCATGCGCGATGTCCGTATGTTGTAAAAATTACTAATTATTTTGGAGGGTTGTTATTTAAATAATCTTACACTTTGAATAAACACTAACCTGTAAATGTACACTTTGTGAAATGTCAAGTCTGTGTATTGCAACCAGCGTACAACATGCAGGATTACTTTATACGCGGAGGTTTTTACTAAGCGTAGTGATATAGCAAAACAGCTGATTAGAGATAGGGCTATTTTTGGATACACCGAGTAACAGATGAATTATGATTGGTCAATAGACTCGTGTAGCTGCGTCGTAGTTTCGTTACACAATCGTATCGTAATAGTGGGAATTTGTGAAGAAAATCTAATTTACTGGTTATTAATTATTAGTTAGTTGTTGATTACGCTAACTAACTAAAACCGTTAACTATTTATATCTAACCATTAAACAGTCTTAGCTCATTTTATAAAGTTATCGCCGAGTATATAGTCCCACAGATAAACTTAATAATTAATTACCAGCAGAAATTTCCATCTAAATGATATTAATTACTCTACAGTTGTGACATACTAGTGTGTAGTCAGTATCTAAATAATATTCAGATACATTCTTTACCTTCTACATTTTTGTCAAATACTTCGATGTTGTAACACGCGTCACGTGATCTAGATAATACGCATTTAGGCTTAATGAAACTTTTAATAAGTTAGAAAAATAATTATTTAAAAAAAAAAAGGGGTGGAACAGAAAAAAGAAAACTACAATGTAAGGGATAAACGGCAATTCCCGAGATGTCAACCACTTTCCCATCAATCGTTATGTTACGGTCTCGGCTAACATACAAATGTGATACAGCCATGGTAGTTCCGGATATTATTAAACACTACAATTACTACTGTATTACACCACGAACGTAGATAACTAATCTAATTCCCATCGTATCCGACGATGAGTGAGTAGGCCTACCGAAGCGAAATCAACGGTGGGTATCCGACGATGTCTAATTCCGTGATTACACTGAACTTCTTAATTATCATTTTGACGATTTTAATGGGGAGGGAGGGTCTGAAACTAAATATTTCCATTGATAATCAATCAGTTGGGATAGAATACCCGTAAAAAAAACATGGGACTCCTCAGCTCCCTATTTCTAGTTTCGTCCACCATAGGAAGCCCCCGCCCACACTTCCTGAATGTACCATATGAATAGTATTTGTAGTTTCTTGTAGTAACGTGGCACGCGTGACTATGTCGGTTATATTAAAAGTACCTCACTCTATGCAATGTCTTTGGTCAAGACGATGAAGTGGCCGAAGCCTGAGGACATCGATGTCCATTGCGTGAACCTGGATTTGACCCATACAGGTCTGTCTGATTGATGGACTCCGGCCTTCCCTAAACTGCTATACAGGTACCAGATTGTGGTCGCCATGACATGCAGACTGGACATTAAGTTTTCGTGTTATTGCAATGTGATGTGATATTTAGGTGTATTTTGTTGGTAGATTGCCAAACAGTTGACATCTGGGAGCTAATGTTCCTTTCCTAGTACCAGATGACATGGCCATACGTAATAGCAAGGGTGAAATGCATGACGTATAATATCGTCAATATCCTTCATATCAACATGTGACGTAAATTATAGATTTAAATAACAAAATGAAATATAAAACTTACCTCTTGTCTCATCCGTAATGTCTCGGTACAATCCATATCTGTCACTTATATAAGTATTAGCCTCTACCTTAAAATAGCATCACTTTCCAGGGTATGAAGTAGAAACGAAGCAGAAACAAGAGAAATATCCCTTCACAAAACAAAGGATACCACCTCAAACTTTGATATCGTTTAGCGCTCGAAGCAAATAAACGCCTGGTATGGAAGAATTTATTTCACAGTATGGTGGGATGCAAGCTTGGATTACTATAGGAGACAACAACCACCCACGACTTTTCGGTTGGATCAATGTTTGACGATCCCTCTACGTAGTACTATTATAGGATGACTACGTCAGCTAAACTTTTACCACGGATCACCAAATGGCTACGTCCATTCATGATATCGATCCAGCAGCCGAAGCAATGTTTCCATATATGGAAGAGGAGATGAATGAAAACTAATTTTGTTATTCCATGGCAACCGTTTCTTACGTCGGATGCCGCACCTACTACGACACTGTGACGTCACAGAGTTGCTGCTACTGCTGGATTGCTACGGGACAGAATCAATAATTCGTATGGAGTTGTTTACAATAATAGCACACTATTTCATACAGGATCTAAATATAGACACAGAGATAGAGCTAATCACATTCTCTCCCCTACTTCATAAAGCCACGTTGTTCAACAATTATAAAAGGAAGTTATAATATCCTTTGATTTTTATCGAGCACGGGGAAATTCTTTCTCAGCATTTTTCAGGATGGGAATTTTTTCTTCTGATTAGGAAGCAACAGCTATCCGAGAAAGAAATCGGAAATGTTGAGGAAGTTGCATATTGTCATTATTGGTTCATAAACATGACGTAATAGAATTCCCTGTTGTGCATTTATTTTTAACACGTACGTTTAATCGTTTATAGAGATTATATTCGGTGTTTCTCATTTCCGTCAAAACCTTATCGATCAATGCTTTTCTAAGAAAACCTTCATAATTAATATTAAATTTGATAAGATTTTTAAAAGGTTTGACACGGGGTTACCTCCCGTAAGACACAGCGTCGGTATGACGTAGTGTGTGACGTCCCTCATCTGCCATTAATTAAAAATGACTGCACCTGTGGCAATGTGATACAACTAGGAAGTAACAGGTGCTGAATAAACAACCTCGGGTATACACGGGACTGTTATATGTTAGTGTATTGCGCTTACAACTTGTAACCCCGAGAGGCTCGCGAGTCATAGCACGAGTGGGACGTCAGAATATTTACAATGTTGATTACAATTTGTTTTTAAGCATTTCAATAAGGGTACCCTTGGACACTATTATGGACGCGCGCAGAAGGACACAGAGCCGCCATGGTAACTTTAACCACGGAATTAGATTAGAAGTCCGTACTTTTATTCATTTTAAGGAGACGACCCCTGATTACAAGTTCGGTATTTTATATGATAATAGTTTTCCGTGTATTTCAACATCTCTTTCATTTTTTCCGTCCGGAATTTTGGTTTCCGACAAATGTCTTTGTTCGAAAAATTGCGCAATTACAAACACTTCAAAGTCCAGGTTAATACGCCCATTTACAACTTCGTATAGAGAATCGGAAAGTCGCATAAAATAGCTGATTTCAGAAGAATGAATTTTTGATATAAAGTTGTGTTTTTATGTTTCATGAAGGGGGGGGGGGGGGNATATTGGGTGCCGTAGTATTGTGTTTTGATCATTTTGCTCATATCTTCGCTGTTATTAAGCACGTGTCTTGTCCGAGGAAACGATAGTTAATAGTTCGGTGGAGTGAGAAAAAGACAGCTCGTCATAGAACGCCAGGGTCACAACGTAATTAACCTTACTCATTTCATTTCCTCCTATTGACAAAAACCCGCACATTACTTATATGACCGAGCATCCTCATTTATATAACTAATGATGACAATAGATGGCTGACATTTGTACCTCTGGGCACAGATGTTTTCCGCGTACTTCGGCATGTAACAAAGCCGAGAACAAAATATACATGTAGCATTTGGGTGATTTGACTCGTCAGAGTTATTCCCCTTTAGGAACCCAGAGCAACGACCAAATTAATTCAACCAATTTTAACAGTCCACGAGAGATAACTCTATCAAAAGGAGACCGCCCAATAGACGAATAGTAACCCACATGTATGCTTGGTCAATATGACGAGGGACGAACGATCAATCTATCAAAATGTCCAGGAGAAATCGACAAGTCGATTATTGGGACTGTTTTCTTTGTGTTACTATTGTAGGTATTCTAGGCCTACCAGTTAATTCGAGATGCCATATGATGCCCTCATGCTGACCTCACCCATCTCCATCAAAAGCAGACGTTGATAAGGGTTTGATTTAATCACAGAACGATTTTTTGCCCAGAAAAAATCTCCATCAACACCGACAAACCTCCATTTCGAATAAACTTGTTTTCTAAAACGAGGCTTTCGGTTCCCAAAACGAGGTTTTCAGTCAAAGTTGATTAATTGGATTTGGTTAATTATCAATGGCACCCAGTTATACTTGATGCATTGCATGATGTCATCGATAATTAGGGATCGATATGTAACGACATTTTCGTTGGTTAAGAATCATGTAACGCTAAGTATGGTATAATAGACACACGCATTCATGTTTTGTTTGCCTCGTGAGTGTTGCTCTTGGACGAATTTGTTTTGCCTAGTGAGGGTATACGCGTGCATTTGCGTAACAAATCGTCATACTAAAATGGCAAAACGACAGGACTATTGGTTGAATCCTCCCGGCACAGCATATATGACGTTAGCAGGACGCAATGGTAATGAAAGCGTAAACTTAGATTTACAGTGACGACAAACGCATATCATATATATAGGATCTTAAATGAGTTTTCATTTCATATGAGATTCTTCGAGACGAGTTTCATAAAAGCTCATATGAAATGAAAACAAATTTAAGATACATTTTATCACATAACCCAGGAAACTTACATTTTGACAGGTTTTAAAGCCAAAATGTAGAGGGCTTAATCAAACGAAAACAGCCATTTTGTTGCGCCACTCACAATTTATGACGTCACGTCATTGTCCATATTATGACGTCACAATCGATTTCTGACTCGCACAGCCAATGAAAAACGCTCCATGGTATATTACACTAGTGACATATGTACATGTAAAAATATTTCACGGGCGAATTCACTGGATAACAGGTCGATTATGTGATAAGAGTTTTTGAGGACTGGTCACGTGTATAGGATCCGACCAATGTGATTACGAATGTTCACTAATACTTAAAAGCATGAACACATAACTTGAATTAATATAAAGGTAGGTCATCAATTTTGCATATTAACATAATACATTAGTACTAAACCT